CTATTTGTCACCAAGCAGCCATAGTCACAATGAATTCAGCCCACTCTCTGCAAGCAGCCCCCAGCCCCTCTGGTGCCCACAGCTGGCACCCACGGGAGCAGGTGGGATCCTGCATCCCACGGGCAGGGCCTGGGCAGAGGATCCATGGCCAAGCAGGGCACTGCCAGCAGTGGGAAGGTGCACAGAGGTTGTCCACAGCCACAGGGACGGATATCTGTGGCAGGATGCAGGTAGCCCTAGGCCATTTGTGCCAACCTCAGGGGTCCCTGTCCAGTGTGGCAGAAGACTCTGGAGAGAAGCAAAGCTCCTCTGTCCTGTTTACCCCAGTGCTACTTCCCTACCAGAGATCCTGTCCTAAATGCAGGGGGATCCTGCTTCAGCAGCATCCACCGTCCCCTTGCCCTGTCCACAGGGGCTCTGCTGAGAGCATTCCCACAGGCAGCCCTGGCAAAACCCACCGCTCCCTCCAGCCCTGGGAGTGCACTGGGGTGTAAGAGCTGGTTTTGCTCCAAGCCAAGGGATTTGCTCCAGGATCAAGGCCAAAGGAGGAGATGCAGGGTGTGGGGTGCTGATAGCAGCTTCCCCGCTCCAAGTCCTATCCCGCTGCGCTTGGCCAGCTGCAAGCACAGGCTGGAGCAGCTGCAATGGGGTGGAGGCAGTGGGGAAGATGCACAAAGCCCTGATTCTCTGTTTTCTGGGTAAGAAAGGGAGCTAGGAGGGTCTGTAAAAGCAGGAGAGGTGCAGGGTCAGCATGGCAGCTGGCAGTCCCCTGGGATGGAGGAGCCAGAGGGGGATGGAGGGGATCCCGGGGGATCGCCGGACCTGCCAGGCTTTGGGAGGTGGCTCTCAGGGAGGCACAGAGCAGCCAAGCCAACAGCCTCAAAGTTTCAGCTGGTTTTAATACTGTCAGAGACACCCCGGAGCAGGGCCGCCATCACCATTCAAAAACGCCGGTTGCCAAAGGAACCCCCCGGCCGCCCCACCCCCACAGCCACTCGGCATCCCAGCTGGCAGGGGAAGCATCGCCGCCCGCGCCGCTGCCCAGACACCCTGCCCGCACTCCTGCTTGCCAATGCCGGGTCTCGCTCATCTCCTACTGCTAATCCCGAGGGCTTGAGCATTGCAAGAGGCTCCCCTCCACCCCACGGAAAGGGAAAAAATCAGGTTACAAAAAGGGTCATGGCACAGCTCTCTGCCTACTGTGTTTACGTGGTTTAACCACCACCTTTCCCACCCTTTCTCCGCATCCTTTGGCTACAAACCATCTCTCCCCCACTACCAGATTGCAGCCCCCCTGGTCACTGCTTGGCTCTGGGGACAAGGGACCTCCAGGCACCCCAAACTGCAGTAAGGTGGGGATGGCGGGGGACGCTGGAGCCGGCACCTCGGGAAGGAGAATGGGCAGCGCCTGCCAAAACGCCAGCATGGCGCCTGCTGGGAGTGCCCAGCGGGTAGAGCCACCAGTAATGGGGACCCGGTGCCTCTTGACAGGAGCTGTCTCATCACTCCCCTCGCACTATGCAGCGTTGACACCGCAGGCAAAGAGACCCAGGGCCTGGCAAAATGGGCAGAGGACAACAGCCGACTAGGTTTTTCAGAGCCCCTGCTTGCAGCCATGCAGGGAGCAGAAGGGACATTGGAGGCTGCAAGCCTGGGGTGCCTGCCCTAAGCCCCCCAAAACTTCTGAGCCCCAAGCCGCAGTGCGGGCAGGGGACCACTGCTGGCCGCAGCCTCTCTGCTGGAAGCAGAAGCAAAAAGGGGGAGAAAATTTGTCTCCAGGTAGCTGAGAGGATGCAGCCGAGCCCTGGTTGCAGGACAGGGTCCCCCAGCAAAGCCCCGTTTGCAGGATGGGGTCCCCCCAAGGAAGCCCCAGTTGCAGAAGAGGGTCCCCCAGCCAAGCTCCAGTTGCAGGAGGGGGTCTCACCCCTGGCTAGCTGGGCAAAAGGGCAGGAGCCATCCCCACATCCCATCTGTAAAGTGCAGTGCTGCAGCCCCAGCACCAACGTGGGGCAGGGGAGCCCTCCCGGCCGCCTCCCAGGTTTGGGGACATGGGGGGGGGGGGGGGGCAGGCGGGGGTAGGGGCAGGCAGGGCGCAGGCCAGGCAGTGGGGAAGAGCAGCCCCGTCCTTCCTTCCCGGGCGCCTACTCATCGCAGCCCAGCAGCTCCATGCGCAGGGTGATGCGGTTGTGCCAGGCCACGGGCAGGATGCGGACGAAGCGGGCATAGAAGGGCACGTCAAACACATTCTTCTTGTGCGAGTAGTTGTCGCTGTTACCGTGGAAGATCTGGCGTGGGGGGAAAGATGGGTGTCAGCACCACCTGGATTCCCCCAGCACCATCCCATTCCTCCCCACAGCAGCATCCCCGAGCCCCGGGACGTCCCTTCCCGCCTTGCCCTGCACCACGCACCTTGGTGCTGTTCGTGTGGCTGTCCCGGTAGAGGGTCCAGGACGTGCCGTTGTCACTGTAGGCCACTTTGTAGGCTGCCACGTACTGGATGTGCCCAAAATCACGGGCTCCTTGTGTGATGACGCCCGTCACCTTCTTCTGGTCCCGGAGGTCAATCTGACACGGAGACAAGGCTTGTCGAGGCTCCTCGAAGGAGCAGTGATCCCACCCTGGAGCATACTGTGTGTCCCAGAGGCAGCCAGAACATGCTGGCCCTCAGGGGTCCAAGGGTAGAGAAAATACCGCTCGACCCCTGCCCCAATGTCAAAGGCACTAATAAAACACAACTGTGAAATATTTGACCCTTTAACACTCGCAGCATCCCTCGAAGCAACCCAAAGTGGGATGCAAGCCCTCCGGTCTCAGCTCCCTTCCCCACCACTGCCGCCCTGAAATTTTTTGCCAAAAAGGTCAATGTGGGAATGACGGAAAAAAATCTCAATTAAAAAAAAAGTAAAGAACTCCCAGAGGAAATGCATTTCCACTGGGAAGTGATTCTGGCTGAGAAAATGTGCAGTTCAGTGTGGTCTGACATTTGGGTTGTGAGATGGTTTCTATTCTCTTTACTCTGCCACACTGCTACTGCTGCTGGCACGCTACAGCACAAACCAGCAAACGAGCTGAAAGTCGCCTTAATTTAGCTCCTATTTTATGCAATATCAGCTATATGTATAACATATATGTGTAAATCTATATACACGTACACAAACAGGTAGCCTGCGGTGCCACAGCCCAACTCAGCGTGTCATCCCGACCTCATCAGCAGACGTCTTGATAAGCTGGTTTATTTCGGGCCATGAAGCAGCTGCTTTTAATCATTTCCCAAATAAAAAGCAGGACAAATATCTAAACTGCTTTGTCCTATTATGTCATGAAATCATGTGAAAAGTATAAAAACAGGGGAGGAAAGGAAAATGAGAAGGAAATTTCAAAACTATTTGTTCCCATTCCAGACCGGGAAGAGAAAAGCAATCTTGACTTTTTCCTGCAAAACAGAAACGTGGTGTTCTGGGCAGCCGGCAGGTCATGGGATGGTCACCCTAGGCCGGGATGGCACTTCCCAAGAGGGTGATGCACTACAGGGGTGCTGAGGGTTCGGTGCACCCCACAAGAAGGTCTGCAGATATGGCACTACCCTGTCCCTACGGGCACTGATGTTTCTGACCCAGAGCTCTAGCATCGCTATTAAAACTGGTGGCTGCAGCCCCATCCTGATCTACCCCTGCGATCCCAGCTCAGGGAGAGCACTGCCAGGCTGCGTGCCCATGGCAAGGCTCCAGCAGTTCTGCCCAGCCTCTCCTGCCATGATCGTCCTGCTTCCGGCCACCTCGGCACAGGAGCTGGCTCCAGGCACAGGAGGTGGCCACGGGCACAAGAAGTCGCCCCGGGCAGAGCTGGAGGAACTGGGGAGGAGAAGCGAGGTTACAGAGGGAGGACATGGAGACCCACCTGCAGCCACTCGGACTGGCCGTTGTGGAGTGCTGTCCAGGCGTTGGTTTTGCCTGTCTTGTCCAGGCGAGCGTAATGGGGGTGCCAGGTAAAGGCGTCAATGCCCCAGGTCTTGAAGACGCTGGAGGCTGTGATCTGCTGGTCGGAGATCAGGCGGGATTTCATGCCCAGAGGCTCCGAGCAACCTGCCCTCTAACACAACGGTTTATAGGGGCGGTGAAAAGGAAAGAGTCCACAGCACCGTTGCGAGCAAAACCCCGCAGCCCTGGCAGGCGTCATCCCATGTCCCCACGTTCCCATCGCCCAGAGTGGCAGGCAGGGCCAGGGAAAGGCTTGGCAGAGACTCAAGGTCGCAGCCAGCTCGCCTTTTCCCGGGATTTTTAGCTCCCAGCTATTCCCTGGCTCACAGTGCCTCCTGCTGCAGGGACACACGGATGTCTCCGCAGCACAGCCTGGCCTTGGAATACAGTTGGCTTCAG